TTTATGGATGTAATTTCTAAATTATTAATAAAGTATAATAAATTTATGCTCCATTTATTATTTTTCTAACACTCCAGTTTCTAAAAATTTTGCTGAGATGATAGTGCACATTGTGAGCGGGAAAGGTAGAGGTAATGGGTACTATGTTATACCTAAGAACATTTACATCTGTTTTGACAGTTTGCTCATATAAGAAAAAAACAAAATACAGGAAATATATGGAAAACATAAAATATTAAAAAATCAAAGAAAGATAAATTGACAATAGATATTATGTGGATCTCTGCCATCAGAGTAAATTAACAGTTAGTATTTGCCATGGGCTTGGGATTCAAGAATCTGTTTCATTTACAACTCTATACACTTATCTAGTTCATATATTTGTATGCAAATTATTTGCCATTCTAAAATCTGTCAGTTTCTGACCCTTGTTAATTATAGAAATAATAGACGCGGTAGTCTTCATGAGAAGGGTTGTTGTATTATTAAAAGAAGATATTATATCTATTATTAGGATCCTTATATTGCTATTAGTTCATCAATGATTTTTTAGCGATAATTCAACGATAATGACCGCTCCTAGAGATCATTCAATCAATGATTGTGCAAAGCTGTGTTCATAATCTGCATAGGACTATAATCTTAATGTATTTAGCTGCAAGTATTTGAAATTACATAAATTAGTTACGATTGCAGCGAAAGCCAGTATGTTCAGAAGTGACTAGGATACCTATATGTACAAATATTACAATAAGTGAAAGAATTTTAATAACTACTGTATAAAGTTTATATTTTTAATTTTTATATTTCTAGTTTTTTCCATATAATAGTTTCGCATCAGATTAAGTTGTTTAGATTTTTACAGAAAAAAAAATTTATTGTTGCCAAGTTTTCTGTTCTTTGTTTTTTTTTTTTTGGTTTGTTTTTTTTTTTTGACAGAGGCTCCACTCTGTTTACTCCAGCTAGAAGGCAGTGGCATCCATCGACTAGCTCACTGCAACCCGTTAAACTCTTCGGGCTTAAAGCGATCCCTCCTGACGCTTAGCTTCCCAAGTAGCTGGAACTACAGCTAGATATGACCCAGCTAATGTTTTTCTGGTGTTTTAGTAGAGGATAGGAAGTCTCCCTCTTGCTCAGGCTTGCGTCTTTCGAACTCTGGGCCTTAAGTGCTAAGTGATCCTCCCCCTGGGCCTCCCAAAGGGCTAAGATTACAGGTGTCAGCCACAGCACCTGGTCTCTTTGCTAACTTGCATATAAGACAAAAGTCAAGTAAAACACTGATGATATTATTGGATATTAAAATAGAATTAAAGAAAAAAAGAAAGTTTGATTGTACCTAATTATACTGAACTGATTAAAAGATAAAGTATATATTTTCTAATCGGCTTTGCATTTAGGGAGTGTGAGAAATCACTATAGTTAGAATCAAACAAATAAAAAAATCTTTTAAAAGTTTTTGGACAACAGAAATATTGTGATAAATCAAAATAATTCTAAATTCTGCTATAAGCACATAGAAAAAATTTGAATTATATTACTTAAACTTTTTAATACATAACTGATCTCTCAGGAAAGAAAAAAAAAAAAAAAGAAAGAAAGACTTTCCCAGATGCTATAATTAAAGAGAGAACTCAAAAGGAGCACAAAAGTGGGCCCTGAAACCAAGCTGAGAGTAGAATAGTGGTTACCAGAGACTGGGCGGGTAGGGGAGAAGGAAGGATAGGGAGAGGTTTGTCAATAGGTACAAAGTTACAATCAGAGAGGAGGGATAAATTCTGGTGTTTTACTCCACAGTAGGATGACTACAGTTAATAGTCATCCAATAGGTTAAAATATCGTTCATTACCAAATAGCTAAAAGGAGGATTTTGAAGGTTCTAATCACAAAGAAATAATAAATTCATAGCATAATGGATACACTATCTATCATGATTGGATCATAATATAACACAGATAAGTATTGAAACATTAAATTGTACACTATAAATATGTACAGTTACAATATGTTGATAAAGAATTTCTTAAAAAAAGAAAGAGATAGAGCCCTGGGCTTCCTTGCTAGTGCATAAAACCCCATAAAGGTATATTTATATGGAAACAAGAGGGCTGCATTAAAGATGAGTGCTCAGTTAAAAAAAAATCATAATTTATAAACTGAAGAGCCATGAAAAACCAAAGTGCCATGACACAGGTTTAGCAAATAGAAACATAATTGTGAAATAATAGAACAAAAGCTTTAAAGTAAGAATTTAAAGTTATTAAAGAGATACAGATAGAAATAGCAAACATAAGGAAAGGAAAAGGTACTGTACAAAAAATAAAAATGAAGTAAGCAGATTTGAAAATTTCCAGAAATAAAATGAAAACCAAAGTCCACAGGAGAGTGGTTCAATAAATCATATATACTCAAGTGTGGATATTTGGATGGATGTGAAAAATGAATCAATCAGAGCTTTATGCATTAAAAGAGACATAAGAAAAGAAGGATATATCCAGAATGAGGGCAATAATACAAGATTAAAGACATCCAAAACAATGCCATATATAATTTAGAAATATATATTCAGTATCATGCCAACAAATACATTTAAACATAAAATTCAGGATGAAGTAGGAAAATGAGAATTAGAGAGTGATACAATGGGGCCTTCAACTCCTTATGTATGCTTTTTTTTTTGGTTTTTCCTCTCAAGGTATTTAGTGGGCATATTATATTTAACATTTTTATTTTTTAAATATTTTACAATAACCTTTGTTAAGTTATTATTGTACCAGGGTACAAATTTATCATTTTAAAATATAGTTAAGGAACTAAAATATAGTGTTTATATGGTGTATGTATATATAGTCATATATATAAGAAAGAGGCATTACTAGTACTTAGATTCTATAATATAAATGCACGTATTAGTGCATTAAAAAAAAAGGATGACATGCCTCCTAAGCCAAGGTTTTCTTCCATCCATTGTGTATAATAAGGTGTACTATAGGTGCGTGGCAGTCTTCATAAACTACTTGTGAAAGAAGAAAGTGAATGAGGAAGTAAATTATGGAGAGGTCATCCATACACGTATAATCGTCAAGGAAAGTGCAAAAGGATCATGTTAGTTAAAATAAAGTCAACTTGAATATGGATCAACTTACTAAAGGCAAGAAAATAATATTTTTAACTAAAGACCAGTAAATGCACATAGTGATGTGTACAGACATCATGCGATTTCTTACTTCTTGCACTTAAAAATTAATATTATACTTTCATCATTAACATATGATTATTTGGTGAATTTAAAAGATCACCTTTTCAAACGCATGAGTACTAGTTATAGTTTTTGACACTGATAGTTAACTTGATAATATTTGGTTAGAGAGTGAGCAAGTTCACATCTGGCCGAAAGAGTAAGCAAGCCTATGATGTAAAATTTCCTCTTCTATGAACTTTCATTTACCTGTCTACACATCATTAAGAGATTATCTTTGGCTACTACTAAAAAAAAAAAAAAAAAACACATCATCTAAGAGTCTATCAAAGGATGGACCTGAGTCCTGATCAAGCTTTAAGAACAGTCGGAATTCAGGAATTCAGTAGAGAAACATATTGAACAGTTGAGTATATTAGCATCCGATAGGAATCCTACGGTCAATAGCCTCTTAATTTCCTCAACAGATAAAATTCAAGAAAAAGAAATGGATGGGGGAGAATTTGAATAAAAAGACTTAAAAAAATCAATTAAAAAGTGGACCTGAAAATATAGTGTCTATGGATGTGCACTGGGTGGAAAAAAACATAAAGAAGGAAACATCAGGGAATTATGGAATA